GCCTGCCTGCCTGCCTGCCTGCCTGCCTGCCTGCCTGCCTACCTGCCTGTAAATCAGGATGTAAAGCTTTCAGCTACTGCTCCAACATTATGCCTGTCTATCATGTTTCTATCAGATTGCCTTGACCAAGATAGACCCCATCTCAAAATATAAAAGTAAGGTGGACAGTATTCCAGAGAACAACTCAGGCTACCTCAGTGTGCACATACATGCACGCACATGAGTGCATGCTTGAGCGCGCGCGCGCGCACACACACACACAGACACACACAGTCACACATATACACACACAAGACATCTACAAAGCTGTGAGATCAGATGACAAGAGCCCTTCTAACATCCCTATTGCTCATTAATAGACATATGAAATGAAAATACAGAGTTATTACTCAATTTTTTATTTCTATCTTTATGAAAAATTATTCTTGTTTTAAAAATAAAAAGGTATCTTTTTAAAGGAGCTGAAAGTTTTATATTTGCTTTCTGAAAGTAGTCTAAATTTCAAACTGCCTGGTCTGTCACTGTGCATCCCAAATGTACATATCTTCCCAGCCCTGTGAGCTCACGAGGCTATGGCAGGAAAAATGACCCAGAACTAACTCAACACTTCTTGGAAGAAGTACTTGTCTAATCAGAGCAAGAGAAAAATCTGAATCACTGGCCCTACTAATATGCCTAATACAATTAGTATTATAATGATTCTTTTATCAGAGCAACAAATAGATATAATGAGATTTCAATAATCTCCAATCTAGTGGCATCTCAATCATGATTCCACCTTCTACTTTATGCACTAGCTCATCTCTGCTCCCAGATTTCATGTTTTATGCTCATAAGTTATGGCTTTCGTGAATACTTCAGTTTTCACGTCAACAACAAAACCCCCAGGGCAAAAATGCATTAAAGCTATGAAGGGTGACAGGGAGTGGCAGAGCCGTCTCTGACCAGACGACCCGAGCACAGATCTACTGTGCTTCCTGCTGCCTGTGGTCTCAAAGACAGAAGCAGGCGGGCTGTGTGGGTGAGACACAGTGACACTGGCACTAGTTCTTACTGGGTGTCTTCTAGACACCTAGTGTCTACCACACAGCAAGGCACTGGTCCACAACAACACCCTGAGGGGGGTGATCTTCTTAAAAACCGCTTTCTAGAGGAAACAAGCCCAGAGACACAGTGGATGAGTGGATCTGGACCACAAAGGAAGCTACACAAGTAATCGGCTGGAAAACAGGTGCTTTCAGCACTCAGCCAGAAGTGGGGGACAGTACAGACAGGATGGTGGGGACAGTACAGACAGGATGGTGGGGACAGTACAGACAGTATGGCGGGGACAGTACAGACAGTATGGCGGGGACAGTACAGACAGGATGGTGGGGACAGTACAGACAGGATGGTGGGGACAGTACAGACAGGATAGTGGGGACAGTATAGACAGGATGGTGGGGACAGTACAGACAGGATGGTGGGGACAGTACAGACAGGATGGTGGGGACAGTACAGACAGGATAGTGAGGACAGTACAGACAGGATGGTGGGGACAGTACAGACAGGATAGTGAGGACAGTACAGACAGGATGGTGGGGACAGTACAGACAGGATAGTGGGGGCAGTACAGACAGGATACTAGAACAGGACCCTGGGTTCCAAGTGATAGCAAGCTCAGAGCACACTGCAGCTGGCCAGCACAAAGACAGCAGCCATTCAGAGTCATCTCCTAGTGCCTGCTAAGGGACAGTGGCACGTAGCATGTGGAAAGCAAAGGCAGAGTTACCTGCTGACAAAAAGTGATAAAACAGAAGACGGCTGCTCTCGGGCTTAGCAACAAGACAAAAGGGCATTTTCTGCTACTTCTACATGATGGACCAGTACAACATAACTGCTTAAATCCACTGATAAATAAAAGCAGAAAATGAACTGCACCAAATGTTTAGGATCTAAACTAAAGGGAACTTTGACCTCTCTGATCAAGTATCTAGTATCAGGGGGATGGTTTCTCCACACTGGTCACACCTCCCTTACAATCACATCTGAGAGGGAACAAACTGCAGATTTCACAACCTCGGTTTCCAGGTTACTCACTACACTCCAGCCCACCTCTACTGGCCAAGCAGACTGAACTCACACCCCTTTTGCTCTTTCCCCCAACTCCCTGGAAAAGCTACTTCCACTATCGGCTGTGTCTCCTTAGCTCTCTGCTCTGGTGTCCTCAGCAGGTCTACCAGATGGCTTTCACAAATGACCATCCCAGTGCCTGACTCCCTCCAGACCATGTCCATGTCATCCCCATTTATCCTTCCTGCATCCTCAGCAGGCTATGGCTCATTAAAGCCATAAAGCATGGGGAGGATAAAAGGAAGGGATGGGCAGAAGAGCTCAACAGTGAACAGAGCTCCAAAGACAGAATGTGCAGCACATCAAGAGCTCCAAAACCACAGCAAAGCCCTGGGAAGACGTGCTCTGCCTGGAAACAGAGATCATAGTCACATTTCTTGGGTAGTATAGGAGGTTTAAAGAGCAGAACTGGCAGCCGGGCGTTGGTGGTGCATGCCTTTAATCCCAGCACTAGGGAGGCAGAGGCAGTCGGATCTCTGAGTTCGGGGCCAGCCTGGTCTCCAGAGCGAGTGCCAGGATAAGCTCCAAAGCTACACAGAGAAACCCTGTCTCGAAAAACCAAAAAAAAAAAAAAAAAAAAAAAAAAAGAACTGGAAGGGTGGAGCTTGCCAACCAGATAGCCTAGCCTAACTGGTGAGCTCCCAGCCAATCAGAGACCCTGTCTTAAGAGATATGAACAGCACTCCTGAGGATGACACCCAAGGTTGTTCTCTGACTCCCACATCCATGCACCTGCACACATGAACACTCATGCACGCATGTGCACGCATGCGTGCACACACGTGTGTATACATACATGCAAACAGGTTCTAGATAAGTAAGAGTCACTTAGAAAATTGGAATGGACCAGAAACCTCTCATTCCTCTGCAGCCACCCACTACAGGACTTCTGTACAAGTGCAGAGGCTGGCAGGATCATGCAAGGCGGTTTACTCTGCAGACATCAAAGGGGCCAAAGGGGAACAGGACAGAAGGTCTCCATGGCCTTACCCTATGTTCGTTGATGAGAAGGTCCCGAGCAGCATTGAAGATGAGGGTGTGGAGATGCTTAGAGTAGAACACTAGGGTGTAATCATAATCAAAACCATATATCTCAATGTCCGACAGGCTCATCTCATTGTTTGAGAAGATGGCATCTGGATTCAACAAGTTGTTCATGATGGAAGGAACCAGTTCTAGGAGCAAAAACAGAATCCATTATCTCATGGCATGGATGAGGGTTGCCTGGCTTTTAAAGAAAGGAGCAGTTTACACATCAATGTGATGCCCAGAACAGGCAGAGCCAGAGATGCAGCTTATCCACAGAGCACTCCAGAGAAGGGAGAAGGAGCAAGGGAAAGCTGGCTCATGGGGACAGAAAGCAGACTGGTGACTGTGCCAGATGGGTGAGGAAGTGACTCTTACTGAATACAGAATTTCTTTTCAGGTGGTAAAAATATTCTCAATTTGATTGTGGCAATGGACATGGCAGAAAGCCTTTTATAAATATACTAAAATTCAGGGGTATGGACCTGAGAGTCTTCATGTGAGTTCAGGGGGATCTACATTGCATCTCGATGAAACTATCACTGAGAAAGAACAAGTGCTTCAATGTTCAGAGAGAGAGAGAGCACTAACATTCAATGTATTGGCTACCAATGTTTTCCCTATATATCCTATAAGGCTGGCCTTACTGTACACACAGGCCTGTAGTTCCTATTCAACCACAAGCTTGTCACATTACCACAGACACTGAGAATATGACCTTATGCTACTACATAAAACTTTGATACATTTTCATGTGTATGCCATAACCAACCCAACACTTGACTCATTTAAATTTTTTCCTACTTAATAATACCTTTGTGGTGAGCAGATGACTATTTCAGCTAGCTTATTAGAGGTGACACCATCAGGGCCCACTGGACACAAAAGCAGTTTGCACTGTTTTCTGTGCCAGGGCTCTCCATCTGAGAGACTGCTATTACATTACTATTATTCTTTCTTAAAGGAATTCCAAAAAATTTTCTACCTTACAAAGTCCATGAGTTCAAACGGACCCTTACACAGTCCAAGCTGGGAGGTGAGGGCTGTGACTCAGTGTCAGGCACACCCAACATACACAAGGCCAGTGATCCCCAGCACTGAAACACAGTCTTAAGATGAAAGAGACAATGTTAGTGGCTTTACTTCTGCATTATGTTGGAATACTTTCCTATCTTTATCCCCCTGGGAAATAACTCACCTTTAGCCATGGATTGCTACCACCTATGATTTTTAACAAGAGTAAATTCAGGAAGAAGGAGAATTGCAGTCAATAATGGCAAACACCATGTCCATACCAAGCTTCCACTGTCATGACATCATTTTCAGATACAGATTATCTGAACACACCACAGAAGTCTGAAGACAGCGCTCCACAGCCATGTTGGTCTTGGCTTTCCCAGAACACAAAGGAGAATTTGTGATCTTTTTTCATTTCCCACCCCAAAGGGCAGAAAACAGAAAGCGTCTCAAAGCTGCCCGATGTGCTGAGATGCTGTGGTGAGCAGACAGTCACTCTGTAGTCTGATGGTGCTGGAAAAATCAACTACCCACTGAGATCTCAGGCTCCGGGGTTCCCTGAAGGACCTTCAGGAGCATTTAGGATCAGACACTGAACAGCTATTATGAGAGACAAAAAGGAAATACACTTACCCAAGTAGCCATTAGCACTCACTGGAGAGCAGCCTCCTGCACTAAGCTTGGGACAAACACGGACCATCCGACACTGCTAAAAAGATATGTGGTTCCATTCTTTCACCTTCTATCATTTTATGGGTCAGACTTACTTGAACAAGCTCACAGGGCACCAAGTGCTGGAGACAAGGTATTTTCTGGAGCTAAGGGCAAAACACCAAATAGTCTCACAAAACTCAACCTGTCTGGATTCTATGACTGAGGACAAGCACATCAGAACAGCTGTCAACACTTTTTTGTGAAATAGTCTCACTATGTCACACAGGCTGGTCCCAAACCTCTGGGCTCAAGTGGTCTTCTAGCTACAGCCTCCCAAACAGCTGGGATTATAAGTGCACACCACTGTGCCCCAGCTTGCAGCTAGTAGTTAGTAAGTGCTTATGGCCATGTACTGTATGCAACCACAAAGGCTTGCCTCATTTCATCCTTTTAGCAATCTCATGGAGTGTATACTATGTTACCTCCATTTTACATGAGTACCCCGAGGCACAGAGAAGTCACATAATTTCCATACAACCACCCAACAATAAGACTAGCATTTAACCTGAGAAGTCTGGCTCCAGAATCTGTGTTTTTAACTCCCTTCCCCCAAATCACAGGAATCTAGCTGCAATGGTGAACAGTGCGTGTTTTTCTAAAATAAACAGGAGGACCGGCAAGATGGCTCAGCAGATAGAAATACTTGCCAAAAGGCCTGAAGACTTGTGTGTGAACCCACATGGCAGAAGGAGAGAACCTGCTCCTACAAGTTATCTCTGACTCTGCAAGTGTGCTGTGGTGTGTGCATGCCCCCCACCCCACTCCAATCAATATTTTTAAAAACAAAATCATAATGAAATAAAATGGAATCCACCCATTATTTCTATTTCTTTCTATGAACAGCAGCACAGTATCCACCAAGGAGTCACCAGGGTAATCAAGAGGTGTCACCTTTCCTAGTGATGACTCCAGTCACATAACCAGACTCCCACTAGGGCAGAGTCCCAGCTACAGCCCGGGGAACCAGATCCCTTGGGAAACCCAGCAGAAGTTAGGAAAGCCTCACAGACCTGCAGACAGTGCCAGACAGTCTTCCCATATATACCAACTTCAAAACCACACTTTATACCCCACGGTTTTCAGGCCCACCGGTGATGGGGACTGCATGAATGAGCACGATTTTGCCCACACTGGCATTTCAAATGTGACTGAATCTACAATACTCCCCAACAAACAACACGTTTTCATTAGTGTCTCTCATTCAATGGCCTTAGGTTTCAGAGTGATGGGTGACAGGGTGGTAGTGGATGGTTCTTTCATTCACAAATGTGGCCCAAGTCTAAGGAGAGCAAATAAACTGACATTTGAAGAAAACAGGAGGGGGCAGTTCACAAGAACTCACCCCAGGAGGGCTGAAGCCAAACTCCTCAGCATTTAATACCAAAGATCATGCTATGTGACCAGGGCTGCTAGGGGTGATGCTATTTTCTGAGTGTGACAGGATCCTCTGGATGACGTAGGTGAAGCAGGCTTGCTTATGAAGGAACCAAACGCTCCCCTTTCACAAATGACCTTTGTGTGGGAAGCTCCAAGAGACTGCTTTAATCAAGGCTTCCATCTACAAAAAGCCCTGCCAAGGGAGCCCATCTGCCTTCTCAGTACCTGAAGTGTGCTATAGTGCGCAGGAAATCCCCACAGGTCAGCTTGGAAGAGAGCTGCCCAAGGCACCTCAAGGCTGTACACCACAAAAGTGTCACCACCTCAGCACCTGTCACTATCACTCTGTGTTGTCTTCCACACAGGAACAAGGGCAAGTGTCAGAAGCCTAAAGGGATCTCAGCTCCTCTATAATGTCACCAAAAATGTGGTATCACTAATACAATGCCCCACCTAGTCATGGAACTAACTCGGTAAAAGTAGAAACTTCGTGGGATGGCGCACACCTTTAGTCCCAGCACTCTGGAGGCAGAGGCAGGCAGATCTCTATGAGCTCACGGCCAGCCTGGTCTACAGAATTCTTTGTGTATACAAGAGAACAGCAAGATGTACAGCTGATCCTGGGAAGTGGAAAGGACAGCTCTGCAGCTGGCCATCAGCTCTGACACAAGCCACCATGACACACTGTGGGGTACTGGAGACCCCATTGGAAAACAGCCTATGGTAATCCCAGCACTCAGGAAAGTGGGGTAGATGTACCAGGGAAGGCCAGCCTGGGCTACACAGTGGCAGAACCCTGTCTCAAAAAAGAAAAAAAAAAAGAAGAAGAAGTTGTAGGCATTCTGTTTTGATTTGGGCTTGTGGTTTCTTACTGTATTATGATAAAAAAAAAAAATAACAACATAACAAAATGCATCACCCTAATTATTTTTAAGTGGAGTTCGGTGGCTTTAAGTACATTCACTCCTGAGTTCCCATCACTGCCATCCAGCTCCGGAGCTCTTTCTTGAAACACTAAAACACCACACTCTCTAGGTAACACCCCGCCCCCACCCCTGCAACACCACTCTACCATGTCTCCAAGAGTCTGCCTGCTCTTCAGCATCTCACAGAAGCAGGGCCACTCAGCATCTGTCCTTCGCAAAATGTCCTTCAGTCCATCCATGGTGAAGCAGCCACCGTCTCCTCTCCTCTTCTTACTGTTACATTACCTAACAATCAGAGAATGACTGGTGGAGGTTGATTCTCTTCTTCCACCACTGGGCTCAGGAATCTTACTTAAGTCATGAGGCTCAGCAGTACACACGCCTCTACCCACCAAGCCATCCCCAACCATATAGTATATACTTCTGACAAACTCCCACACTCCTTTTCTTAGCAGTTGCACCATTCTTCTGTATTGCTTTTTTAAGACCCCCCTCAGAATATCATTTCTTGACTAAATTCTATCTTTACTGCTGACTGGAAAAGAAAATGAATGAAGGCAAAATTTAAGTAAAATCCAGTATCTTCCCTCTGTTCAAGCAACTATTTTAAACTATGTAAAGATCTCAGCTTGCGAAGTATAATTTTGGTCAGCCTTGCTTGTCCCCTTTTATATGTAGAAATGCTAAATGAGTCTCCATTAATTAAATGACTCCAGGCAGGCAAGGCTATCACTGTCACAGAGCAAATGTGGGGAAAATGCCAAGGAGAAACCCATAGCCTGAGTTGTATCAAGGGATTTCCTCACAGATTCAAAAGGCAAGGTGACTGTCATTCAGCAATTGGGCAGGCAGCCTAGAGAGTTATGAAAGTTGACGAAATGGGTACTAGGGATATGTCTTAGTAAGAGTACCGGCCACTCAAGAAGAAAGACTGAGCCCTACCCCAGGCACTTGTAACAAGCTGGAAGCAACAGTGTGGGTGTTTGAAACCCCAGCACTTTGTGCAGACAGACAAGAGAAGTGGATCCCTAAAATTCATGGCTAGTCTATCTCAACCAGTGTGTTCCGGGTTCAGTGAGAGACCCTGTCTCAAAATTTAAGGTGCAAGGAAGACACTGGATGTTGGCCTCTGGGCTCCACATGCAAGCATGCACATACTTGTCTTGAACAGCCACATACTTGTACATATAATGGGAGTGAGCAGGAGAGCGAGAGAGAAATAAGCAGTAGATTCTTCTTCGTGGCATTATTCCAGGAACCAGAAAGCAATGTGCTAGGAAGGTGAGATGAGGGTGCTGCTTCTATGCTCTGGTTGTGTTCATCCAGTGTGATTTTCACCATCTCAAACCTGTTCCTGTCCAGTCGGCCCCTCTTTCCAAGCACGGAGAGGGTGGGGGAGTAATAATTTCCTTCCTTTCTCTTCCAGTTCTGAGAAGACCCGAGTGGCACCCATCACTTCCAAGGCAACACATGACAGGTGTGACAGAGAGGCCTCAAGAAAGAGAAGCTGGAAGGCCAAGCAACCACCTGGAGGTGGGTTGACCTAGGGACTCCGCATAAATGAAAAATGAACATTGGACAGAGATGTCCGCAAGAACAGCTGACCATGGCCTCCCTTTCCTCCAGGACCACCCACTTTGAGAAACTTGCCCCACGGAGCACACCTTATGTGAGGTCTCAGGATGGTCCCGGTCCTGACTCCAGGGGACACGTACATGAGTGGCCCAACCCAGTAAGGAGTTCGGGGTAGGCACAGGACGTCCCTCTGGCAACTGTCATGTATCTCTCCCTGCCAATCAGTCCTGCCAGGCATGTGCATTTCTGGGTCTGTTTGGTAATTTCAAGGAAGAACTGCTCTTTTGTTTTGTTTTGTTTTTTTTCTACCAAGTCCCGGCCTAAGAAAACATAAATCCAAAGGAGCCAGGGATCCCCACCAAGAAGCTGTAAAGATACCAGGAGCAGAGGGCATCACCTCACCAGTGACATCACCAGTGACATCACCTCAATGCTGTGCTTACACAAGCACTGCCTCTCAACATTTCAGCAACACAAGCCCATAAAATGTCTCCTCAATTCATTTTCTCTTTGTGGTGCTGGGAATCCAACCCAGGGCAAGCACTGTAACTCAACTTCTATTTTTTTTTTTTTTTTTTTTTGGTAACAAGTCAGTTTACATGTTTAATTGCTGATTTTCAAGGCAAGCCAGCTGCTCAAAATTCTTGCTGCCTTCAATTTTTAAACTTTTGCTCTGCATTAAAGGTATTCCCACCTCTCCAATCTTAAACTTTCCTTCCATACCCGTGTCAGCAGGATAGGTGATCTGTGGTCTGTCACTCCACCACACACTGGTTAAGTCTGTTAAAGTCTGCCTTTCCATGTACACTTCATGGTAAGGACGTTGAGGAAGGTTTTCTCATACAGAATATTCCAAACATACACTATGTGAAACAAGGTTTTTTAAAAACATTTTAAACATTGAAAGATATAAATTTTTGAGTAGGACATAACTGCCCAAGTATCGAATGTTTAAAAATCCAAAGAATATGTTGAAAAGCAAAGTATTGACATTTACAAAATAGGGGCCTAGTAGACATAAAAATAAAACAGAAATAAATTAATAAATTTTAAAATCCACAGAAAAGAAATTAAACTGCTAATCAGCAAATGTTCAACCACCCAACTCTTTTTAAAAAGTAAATGAATTTGGGTGGTGGTTCACACCTTTAGTCCCAGCACTGGGGAGGCAGAGGCAGGAGGATCTCTGTGAGTTTGAGGCCAGCCTGGTCTACAGAGTGAGTGCCAGGACAGCCAGGACTGTTACACAGAGAAACCCTGTCTCAAAAAACAAAAAAAGTAGATGAAAATATCTGGGCACAGTTATCAAATGCATCCTCTGAAGGGCAGCTTGCACACGGTCTACTGTGTTGAGTCACATGCATGCTTGCCTAGGATAAGCAGGTGATCCTTGGCAAAAATTTAAAAATAAGATGCGGTGGCATGGATAATGATTCACGGGACTAGTTTCAAATATTAAATATAATTTATTTCAGGGAGAGTGCATTTACACAAGAGGCGGGTGACCGCCACAGGTTACAGCTCCAAGGAGCCACCCAGGCTGTCCTCTGTGACCCTACCAGAAGCAAGAGAGCGGCACCTGCCAAGACCCCAGACCTAAAACTCACCCCTGTCACATAGTCCTCTGTGACCATGCCCATTTTGTGGGCAGAGTGGATATCTCACTACAATAAGACATCACTTTTCTCTCTTTAGAGTCCAGGGAAGTGGTTCTCAGCCTGTGGGCCACACCCCTTTTGAGAGTCAAACAGCCCTTTCACAGGGGTCACACTTCAGATAACCAGCATATTAGATATTTGCATTATGATTCATAACAGTAGCAAAATTACTGTTATGAAGTAGCATCAAAATTTTTTATGGTTGGGTCACCACAGCATGAGGAACCGTATTAAAGGGTTGCAGCATTAGGAAGGTTGAGACCCACTGGTCTAGTGCTATCTGTGTGCTCTTTGGAAGTACTCTGCTTTGGGTAACGATGGAGGCAGAGTTGATGCTGGCTGAGGACTAGCACCTGGCTTCAGGAAGTTTCAGAACAGAAATCTGTGCCTGGCAAACTTTCTGAAACTTTCTGACCATCAACACCAAGAGCATCATACTCTTTGACTCACTCTCTAACTTTTCAGGAAGTCTCTGCTAGGAAAAATATTCAGAGATATGAATACATGAAGCTTTTGTTATGGTGATTTTAATAAGGCAAAACCTGGGGAGACATGCTCATCTCAACCATCTGAGCTCAGGAACCCAAAGCATGTTATTAATAAGACATGACCAAACAGGGGAGCTGGAGCACACTGGACAACTCTCAAGTTAGATCAACAGGAACCACAATGACAATATTTTCTTGATGGAATGTTATGGTTTGACTTTATTTATGAATAAATTTATATAAATGATTTGGTTATGCCAGGCATGGTATTAAATGTTTGTAATTCCAGCACTGGGGAAGCTAAGGCAGAAAGATCCAGAAGAATTCCAGACCAGCCTGAACTATAAAGAGAGAGCCTGTCTCAAAATTTCAAGGAAGGAGACTATAACTCATTGGTACAGTGTTTGTCTGGGGGGTTGATCTCAGCACCACAAATAAAACAAAATTATTTAGCTATGCTATTATTATTATTATTATTATTATTATTATTATTATTATTTATTTTGGTCTTATGCCAGATTTAAGCTCTTTCCTGGGGGAGGAAAATATGTAAACTCAAAAAGCCTTGCAGAATTCACAGGACCTTTTTCCTAGTGAATTTTAGCAGTTACAAAAAGCAGACAAAGCCTCTTATTTTCCCAATACCCTGCTCCCTGTGGTGTATCTTCACAGTGCTCGAAGGACCAAGTTCTCCTATTGGGCAGTAGTCATGTGCCCTCACACTCTGTGTGAGGCACCATGAAGTCAAGGTCACCCACCGACCAACCACATTTCCTTCAGGGCTCTAGTCCTGTGTCCAATCTACAGCGGGGGTGGGGGCAACAGATAGGGGTAACGTAATATTAATAGTTCAGGTCACATATATTGTGGTATGCAATATGTGGTGGTTTGAATGTGAATGTCCCCCATAGGCAAACGTATCTGAATACTTAGTCCCCAACTGGTGGCACTAATTAAAGAGGTTTAGGAGTGTGGACTTGCTGGAGAAAGTGTGTCACTCACTGGAGGTGGGCTTTCAGATCCAAACTTCACACCACTTCCAGACTCCTCTCTTCACTTTGTGCTTGTGGTTGAGATACGATCTCTTGGCTTCTTGTTCCTGCTGCCGTGCCTCCCCTTTAAGATAGATTTTTAACCCTAGTTTAAGCCAAAATAAACTCTTTTTTCTTTAAGTTACCTTGGTCATGGTATTTTATCACAGCAACAAAAAGGCAATTAGGAGGGCATTGGTGGCGCACACCTTTAATCCCAGCACACGGGAGGCAGAAGCAGGCAGATCTCTGAATTCAAGGCCAACCTGGTCTATAGAGGAAGTATCAGGACAGGCTCCAAAGCTACACAGAGAAAGCCTGTCTCAAAAAAACAAAACAAAACAAAAAAAGTGCACAACTATTTCTAAGATTTTATTTTTGTTGTTAATTTTTTGAGACAGTATCTTTCCATGTATCCCTGACTGAACTGGAACTCACTAATAGACCAGGCTAGCCTGAAACTCAAAGAGATCCACCTGCCTCTTCCTCCCAAGTGCTGGGATTAAAGGCCTGAGTCTGGCCCA